TCTTGTAACACCTCTAATCTTCTGGCGCTCATATGACCTTATGCAGTTGCGAGCGCCATAAAACCTCTACTAAAACTAAAACTGAAACTTGTTGGATATATAAATCACATTTGTCCATAGACTTGTTGTATATAAAGTTCACATTTGTCCATAGACTTGTCATATATGTAATTCACATTTGTCCATAAACTTGTCGTATACATATGTAGTTCACATTAGTCCATAGACCTGTCATACAATGTCCTACACTAGTGCTCTGACACAATTTGCATGTGTCTATAGACTTGTCGTATATGTAATTCACATTTGTCTATAAACTTGTCGTATAATTTCATAGACTAGCACTTTGTCAGACGTAATTCACATATGTCCATAGACTTGTCATACAATATCCTACACTAGTGCTCTGACATAATTCACTGTGTCCATAGACTTGTTGTATATGTAATTCCTCCTGTGACAACGATCTAATCCAGTGCCCGCTCCATTGTGTGTATTTGTATGTGTGTCTATGTGTACATTGTCTGTCTGTCTGTCCCTCCAGTGACAACGATCTAATCCAGTGCCCGCTCCATTTTGTGTATGTTGTGTGTATGTGTGTCTATGTGTACATTGTCTGTCTGTCTGTCCCTCCAGTGACAACGATCTAATCCAGTGCCCGCTTCATTTTGTGTGTGTGTGTGTGTGTCTATCTATGTGTACAGCTAGTCCCGGCCCTCAAGTTCGAGACCCACCTGTGCTGCCCCCCCTGCCGAGTTCCTGCTACGCTGTGTGTGTGTGTGTGTGTGTGTGTGTGTGTGTGTCTATCTATCTATGTGTACATTGTCTGTCTGTGTGTCCCCCCAGTGACGACGACCTCGCCCAGTACCTGCTACAGCTGGTCCAGGCCCTCAAGTTCGAGACCCACCTGTGCTGCCCCCTGGCGGAGTTCCTGCTACGGAGAGCCCTCAAGAACCAGCACATGGGTCATAAACTCTTCTGGCTGCTGAAGTGAGTCCCGCCTATTTGTGTGTTTGCGTATGTGTGTGTATGTGTTCTTTTGTCAGATTACGGATATGTATGTATTTGAAAGGATTATTGTACGTTGAACGGGCCAGTATGCATGAAACCTTATCTAAGTTTAATTTTATTTTGAAGCTCGTAGATCCTCCAGGTAGAAGAAGTAGGCGTTTTTAAAGTGTTATTTATTAATATATATATATTATTTTTAATTGTGAGGCAGCATGGTGGAATCAGGCTCTCGTCAATTTACGGGCATGTAGAGTTATTGGTCGGAAATTGAAAAAGCGGGGACATCACGGAAACAGATAGAAAAAGATGCTCAGGACAGGCTTCGCTGGAGTAATGTTGTTGATGGCCTGTGCTCCACTGGGAGTTAAAAAGGGCAAGAGAGAGAGAGAGTTATTGGTATCATCGTAAAGCTTGTTCACTTGTGTTTATTTGGATGTAAAATATATCCATTTATCTTGAATACAAGTCGAGATATTTGCGAATGAAGGAGGTGGGTGTCACCTGTTTTCAGAGGTAAAATTAGTGAGAAAATGGCCGCCAAATATTAGTTATGTCCTTAGCTTAAGAGTCCATGGTAACTGAAAATTTACATTTTTTGTGCCTTTAATCAACATTTTTCAGAAAAATCCATGCAGAAATGAGTTCTTTAATGGGCATGAAAGGAAGTGAACCAAAAAACAAAAATTTGAAAAAAATTCACAAACCTGTGGAAAAAAGCAAGTTTCTTCACTTTGATTATTTTGACAAGAGCCTGATTTCACCACGCTGCCTCACAATTGTTATTATTGTTATTATTATTTTAGACAAATTTTTGTATCGATTGTTGCAGATCAGAGACGTACAACGCTGCGGTGAGCACTCAGTACCGGCTGCTCTTAGAGTGTTATCTGCGACATAATGAGGACCATCTGTTGGTGCTGATGAAACAGCAGGAGGCGCTCAAGAAACTGTGTGGGCTCAACTCTCTCATAAAGTTGGGGAATATTGGAGATCAGGTAAGTTGGGGGGTGGGGGGTGGGGATGAGGGAATGGGAGGAAGGTGGGGGGGGGAGGGGGAGAGGAATGGGGGATGGGAGGAGGGGGAGGAGGCGCTGAAGAAACTGTGTGGGCTCAACTCTCTCATAAAGTTGATGAATATGGAAAATCGAGTGAGTTGGGAGGAGGGGATGGGAGGAGGGGGAGGAGACTCTGAAGAAGCTGTATGAGCTCAACTCTCTCATAAAGTTAGGGAATATTGGAGATCAGGTGAGTTGGGAAGAGGGAAGGGGGAGGGGATAGAAGGAGGGGGAGGAGGCTCTGAAGAAGCTGTGTGGACTCAACTCTCTCATAAAGTTGGGGAATATTGGAGATCAGGTAAGTGTGCAGGGTGAGGGGAGAGATAAAGGGGAGGGGGAAGAATGCTCTGAAGAAGCTGTGTGGACTGAGTTCTTTTTATTAAGTTTGGGAATATTGGAGATCAGGTTAGTTGGATGGGGGGAGAGGAATGGGGAATGGGAGGAAAGGAAGGAGACTCTAAAGAAACTGTGTAGACTCAACTCTTTTGTAAAGTTGGGGAATATTGGAGATCAGATTAGTTGGGAGGAGGGGGTACGAGGGAGGGTGGAGAGGGAAGGTAAGGGAGGGGCGAGAGGAATGGGGGGATGGGAGGAGAGGGAGGAGACTCTAAAGAAACTGTGTGTACTCAACTCTCTCATAAAGTTGGGGAATATTGGAGTTCAGGTAAGTGTGCTTGTAAGGAGAAGGATGCTGTGAAGAAGCTGTGTGAACTGAACTCTCTCATAATATCAGAGATCAGGTAAGTTTGGGGGGGGGGGGGAAGGAAGGGGGTACTGAAGAAGCTGTGTGGGCTGAACTGTCATAAAATTGGGGAATATCGGGGATCAGGTAAGTTACATGGAAAATGTGATTTTTCACTGCACTTCCCGCTTCTCAAAAACATTTTGCATACGCTTTTTATGGCCTAAGTCACAGCTCACCAATAACACTTTTTAGCGGGAAAACTTATTACGAAAAGTTAATTTTATTGAGAACACTTTTTTGCACTCAAGGTTCACAAAAAATGGGTTCAATAAACATAATGTCATGATTAGAAACAAATGACAAACGTGCTTTTAAAAGCAATATTGCCCCAGGTAGAAATCTTTTAAAATCTGTAGAACCCACCCACTGGGATTTTTAATTAGTATTTATTAAGGAATTTTCTAGAATACAACTAACAGGTCTTTACAAAAATATTGATCTATTAAGACAAATTGATACAAGTCACTGTGCAAAAGCCTGAGACTTTATCTCTATATATTATATTTGTGAAAGTTCACACTTTGGCTGCCTAAAATTTCTGAACAACTTAACTTTCGAATTTGACAAAATTAATGGTGGTTCAGAAGCATTTAAAGGGTGCACAGTTTCATTGAGAAGCCTGAAGTCACTGTAGTTTAATTTTCAGTTTTTCATTAGTTTCGTTTAGATCTCTTCTTGGGAAAGTCCGTCTTCTAAGACGCCATTGTAAACAAGTGAGCCTTCTGTTCACTACACGTGTGCACTGATTCCACACCTTTGAAATTATGGAGTGTACAACCACGAAAGCGGAATAG